CGCATTATCATGGAGCAAATCCAAATCCTCCGAGAGTAGCCCTGGTCTTTTGTTCTTGATGGATTTGCGTAGGGTTCGAATCAGTGCTGGTTTATCCATTGGGTGCTTGGGGTGGGTGCCCAGGGGCATGGTGCTTGAAAGTCCCTGGATAAGCTGGACTTAACCAGATTTTCTGGTGAGGAATTTCGATCCCCCAGTGCCGAGGGGACTTGTAGATCTTCTGCGTCCAGGGAGCGAATGAGTTTAAGTTGGTACTGGTTCGAATAGTCTCACTGTACTCATCGAAGTTAATAGTTCTTCTGTGCTCGAGGAATTCAACAAGTACCGTCAACTGGTCAACTCTATATATAAGAGCCTCTGACTGTCCTCCGCATGCAGACGCCCATGCTCTCTATTCGCCAAAGACTATTCACTTCCCTATATGTCTCGCTACGTTCTCCCATAGCGGCAAGGCAAATATGTTAAGGTATCCAACTACATTCGGAACCGTGATTTAAAAAAAGCGCATAAAACGATAATTTCCATGATATTTAGTGTCACTTAGATTAAAGTACATGTATAAAATTGTTTTAAGGACATTATGACAAAAAAAATTATTTAAATACAATATTTTAGCAAAAAATGAAAGAATAACCATTTTTCAAAACGTTCTCCTTTTATAAAAAATGCTTCTATGATAATAATATTTTGTGTGTGTGTGTGTGCTTATATAAAGTAAAGACTTCTTCAGAGAGTCTGAACTAGGACTTTTGAAAAATTCACGTTATTTTCAATTATCACTAATTGAAATATATATAATTATCGGCGTTTTTTTCTTAAAATTTCTCCCTCTGTTGTAGTAAAATATGGATAAATCCACTTCTAAGTTATATATTTCAAAAATTCTAGTTCAGCCTCTGTACAGTGGTCTGAGGTATATACAGGCAAAATATTATTATAATAGAAGCATTTTTCTTAAAAGAAGAACATTTTTTGAAAACTGGTCCTTCTTTGTTAATTTTTTGTCAAAATATTGTACTTAAATAATTTTTCATTGCAATAATATTCTTAAAACAATTTTATATACGTTTTGTAATCTAAGTGACACTACATATTATAAATATTAACCATTTATACGCATTTGCAAAATCACGGTTTCGAACGTAGTCGGATACCTTAATGGTTATGTTGTTGCGACGTTTCGTACTTTTTCATTTGTACACCCATTGTATTTAAAGTGTGAGTAACAAAACTTAGTAAAATTTTTTTCATAAATAATTATTTTTATAATTTTGAAAATTCAACCCTAATTTGAATAATAAATACATATATTTCTTTTAAATTAGATTAAACTCAACAAAATGACTATTTCAAAAAATGATTTGGCAAGAAAAGTTGAAATACTAGAACAAAAGGTGAGAGAGCTGCAAACGTTAACTGATGAGCAAAAAGCCCAAAAATTGGTTCATCAGCATGAAATGGAAATCATAATGAAAACTGAATCAAGCAAGGATAAGGAAATAAGACAAATAAAAGAAGATCTGAGGAAGAACAAATTCGAATATAATTGCCTTATAGAGGTAAGAATTGTTAAAAATTAATCAATATTGAAAGGATTTTTTTTTACAGTTAAAATATTGGAATGTAAATGGGTTTTCTTAGATAAACTTTTTTGATCAAATAGTATCTATATTTCCTTTCACGTTTAAATTTGAAACTGCTTTCAAGTTTAATTAAAAATGAATGTGAAGTTTTGAAACTACATTTAAATTTAAAACAAATCATTTCAGAACACACACATGCATGCAAGTGTAAAGTTTTGACATTTACATTTTTGAAATTACATTTATGTTTAAGACAAAATGTTTCAGAACACATACATGCAGATATAAAACACTTGAAGACATACACGAACAAGGAATTTTTATAGCTATACCAAAAATGTAGAAATATCTCAGTGGTAATTGAATCTTTATGGATTTTTCTAAGGATAAATTTTTGAAAGACAACTATTTCAAAAAAAGAAGAAAAAAATGATCGTGTTTTAATAATGTGCAGTAAAAAGGCAAATAACTTATTTTTGAGACAAAAGCTTGGAATTTAGAAGCGATCTTCAATTATTTATATTGATCAAATCAACTAAGCAAAACACTATTTTTATTGTAACATGTTATTAATCATAACATGTTTTAATTATATTTTGAAAGTTCGTTTTCTTTCGATATGGACGAGAAAAAATTTAAAGAATAAAAAGCTATGTTTTTGCGTAATATTTTTTTTTCCTGCGTTAACCTCTTAAATGCCGATTGAAAGCTACATGATTCACTTCCCAATGCCACCCTTTTTCACATAGGGGAACGAATGCGGTATATAGGGGGTAGAAGAAAAATAAATAAGCAAACCCTTCTATGAAATAAGTAGATCCTTCGCAAGCATTGTCCAGGTCATTTTTTTGCATTCCAAAGTCTTCGGAATAATTTTACTGATAGCAGCACAAAGGAAAGATTGTACTTCACGAAGTCGTATATATACGTCGGTGCCAGTGAACACACTGGTGAGACGTATATATACGCCGGCGGCAGTTGAGTGGTTAAGAAAAGAACGAAAGTAATTATTTTTTGCTGAGTGTAGAGCGACGAAGAAAACGGTCTGATAAGATTAGTAATATTATCAAAAAATATTAACTTAAGTTTTTTTAAATCACACACACAACATCATTGCTCATAACACTTGAAAGAACTTAAAACATCTGATGGAATGAATTTCAAGTGGTAAGAATATGTAAATAGGTTTTGCTGGTGTGAAAAAAAAATTAGAGAGAAATACCACTAATTTTTCAATAAAATTCTTACCGAATGGCTTAGCAAAAACAATATATAAATATTAAATACTGTCTTTTAAATTTTGAAGTTTTTCCAGACACTTTTTACAGTTTTTTTAAAGCAAATTACACTTTTTTTCGTGTGTTTATAAATATTTTGATTGATTATCGGATAAGTAATGCAAATTGATAAAATTAAAATAAAAATTCTCTTTACTCATTTCAATGAAAAAAGTATATATTTATCCCTGACAAAAATCTAGCACATTCTTGGAATCGTAATAGATACTTCGTACTTTGTGAAAATTAAACATTTTACATTCTAGTCAGATTTTAATAAATATCTAGCTTCTTCAGTCATCAAATTGATTAATTTTGTGAAGCAAAATATAATAAAGTTTTGTGTGAGTTTTTATTTAAAAGAATTTAACGTTATTTGGTGTTTAATATTTAATTACAAAAACTATTTCATTTTTGAAATATATTTGTTTATCATTGTGTTTTTTGAACAGAAAGAACACATTGCTAGAAAAAATGACACAAAAAATGTATAAAACAACATAGAAATGTAAAATCGGGAAATTTGGAGTTATATAGTATAGAAATAAAAATTTAACTTTTTAAGATTGAGGTTAATGCTTGCATATATATATATATATAAAAGTGAAAAGAAGAGCATAATGTTATTATAAAATTATTTGCTACTCACGGACTATCGCAACCATTTTGGCGACATTA